TGGAAAATCTGTCGTGAATATGGAATGGATGGATTACACAAGAAATGGTACGATCACATTCCAACCCCGGTTACGACAGTGGCTCCCCCCGCACAGTTCTATACGATCAACAAATTCACACAGACAGAACTGTGCCAGCCAACAAACCGGATATCATCCTGCGACATAATTCAGTGCCGGCGGAAAAAAACACCAGACAGCCAAAGAAGCAGGCAAAAGGCTGATGCGGGGAATAAAGACAGAAACTATTCCGGTCATCGTGGGGGCAGCACTGGGAGTCTAGGCGACAATCAACAAAAGAAAATTTAAAAAAGATTTTGAATAATTTAAAAGAAAAAACCGGAAATTGCGTCACGCGAGACGGCACACATTCTTCGATAGCACCAATCAATAGAAATCGAATAAAAACCTGGAATGTATGTTTAAAAACTCCGACATGTACAAACTTGTCGAGTTTGTACAAAATTGAAAATAATAATAATGATAATAATAAGATAATACGTAATTTTCAATTTGATTTTTAGTAATAGTTTAGTTACAAGACGAGAAAGGAACACACACAAACGAGAAAGGATTATTAATCGTTATAATGTGATTTATTTGGTCGTGTTTTCATTTCATGTGAGTAACGTATACCTTTTCGAAAAAGGTTTTTTTTTTTTTTCTAGAAACAATAACATAAAATCATACATAACTTAATTAGCCATCCTTTGTTAATAGAGTTAAATTTGCGGTTATTCAAAGATAAAATACTAAATAAATTTCTTTAATTATTGATCGGTTAGACGGGTTGAATTATATATCTTAGTTTGAAAAATTCGTATTAGTAAAAAAAAAACAAAAAAAAAAAAAAACAAACAAACAAACAAACAAACAAACGAACGAACAAACATTCGGATACAAAAATAATATATATATATATGAGAGAGAAAAAAAAATATATTTCATCATTTTGTAAATGTGTGTGTTTGTGTGTCAAAATGAAAACACAATTTAAAACAAATTCATTAAAAAAGGATTAACGAGAGATAGAGATAGAGATAGAGAGAGAGAGAGAGAGAGAGAGAGAAAGATCTCTCTTTTTCTTTAATTTATAACAACTAAAACAAAAACAACAAAAACAACCGAAATTTATGTTTTGTTTCGTTGTTTTTT